ATTGTGGCCCCACCCTAACCCTGGGGGTCATGATTTGATCAGACTTGAATCACAACTACCTGAGGATGCTTTCATATAAATATGATCAATTATGGCTTTGTTATTCTTGAGAAGAAGATTTTAAAAGAATTTTCCTATATATTTCTATGTAAAATTTTGGTCGGCTATTGTGGCCCCGCCCTACCCCCGGGGGTCATGATTTGAACAAACTTGAATCTACCCTACCTGAGAATCTTTTACCATAAGTTTCATCTTTCCTGGCACAGTGGTTCTTGAGAAGAAGATTTTTAAAACATACCACCAAATTTTCATTAATTCCAAATTATCTCTCCTTGAATGAGGGCGTGGCCCTTCATTAGAACAAACTTGAATCCCCTTCACCTAAGGATGTTTTGTTGCAAGATTGGTTGAAATTGGCTCAGCGGTTCTTGATAAGAAGTCGAAAATGTGAAAAGTTTACAGATAGACAGGCAGACGGACAGACAGACACCGGACAAAATGTGATCAGAAAAGCTCACTTGAGCCTTCGGCTCAGGTGAGCTAAAAATGAAATGGCATGTGTAAACCACTATTATTAGAATGATTGGAAAAGAAAGAGACTACATGTAACGGTATGGAAATGAAAACAGGAAATTCTTTTTTTACCTTTAAGAATTTGTTCCTATACAAATATATACAAAAAAGTCATACATTTCTGATGTCTTGATGAGCGTAAAAATCGATGTTTGATAGCTGAATGAGATGTTGGACCGGTCTATGAGATGTTGAATCGCTTACGTCAAAGAAAAGGCTTAAATTAATCTCATTAATTGCATTTGCTCATTAATTAATCACCGTGGCGTCGGTAGTCTAGTGGTTAAGGTGCCGTACTCCAAACCTAAAGGTTGTGATTTCATATCCGGCCACTGAAAGTCGACGCTTTGTCCTTGGGAAATGCACTTCACACGAATTTCCTCACTCCACCCAAGTGTAAAAGTGGTACCTGGCTATAGACAGTGAAAGTTATTGTCAGAATGTTATATTAGTGTTCTGGCGCCTTAACGGCAGCTTGCACTAAGAAAGATTCTGGATTGTTGTTGTCTGCTGGGGGTAATTATGCATTGTAAAGCGCTGTTAGTAGCATTTACATGTATGCTAGAAAAGGGCTATATAAAAACAGTCATTATTATTATATTATTATTGTAACGTTTTTCTCTCTATGGGGTGTTTGTTGTTACCCGCGTCACAAAATATTGTGGATCCCGTGTAGAAGATAGGAACTTTAGATCTTTATAGATCTAACATAAGAACAACGACAAAGTTCGTTTCAACGAGTGTATTAATAATATCCAAGAGTAGTTTAACAAATCAAATCCAAGCTATGTATATCTGCTCACTATCTCTCTATCCTTATATACCCTGCCTGACACCTAACGTGATTTAGGGCACCTAGTTAGGGCGTTAGGCTCCATCGTTAGGGCACCAGTTAGGACGTTAGGCTCCATCATTAGGGCACCCTGTTAGGGCAATCGGCTCCATCATTAGGGCACCTATTAGGGCAATCGGCTCCAAGTGTTAGGGCCTCTGCACCATTGTTAGGTGTCAAGACACTGGATACATCTGATAAGCGCCATATTAATTAGGACACTAATTAGACGTCCAAGATAAGGGCACTAATCAGGTACCATGTTTAGGGCTTATCAAATAAACAAAAATAATATTCCTATTTCATTAACAACTGTAGCATATTTACATATATAAACAAAAACATTACATTATTTTCATTAATTGGCGTTCAACATTGATCGTGTATTTGTAAAAAATATAAAATAAAAGGTATAGCAAAACAGTTATTGACTACGTTCTGAAACAAAATGCAAATGCAAAATTTGTGAACCCTCGAACCAAACTGTCTGCCTTTGGCCTAACGGCCTAAGGCAGACGGTTTGGTTCTTGGGTACACCAAAACGCTTGTTACCCTTGACCTCAGTCAGTAAATGAATATTGCTCTCTTTAACTTAATGTTTCCTCTACACAACCAATGGCATTGCTCATGGCGTGTAAAAACTGCATAATTAAACCGTAATATTTTTACCCCATGCGCCTTTTCAAACAAACCTCATGATCTTCCGTGGTGTGTGTTTCATCCCTTTTTTAAAAATTTCCTGATTTTTTTTTTTTTTTTTTTTTGCTTTATTTTTTAAAGATTGATCCCTGTTGAAAATTGTTTTTTATGCTTCTCACACAACATTGATATGCTAACTAAAGATAAATCTTTTGAATATCTTACGGTTTAGATGATATATTTTGTACAAGAACTGTATGTATGTTTTATTTTATGTGATTTATTTTCTTTAAATTTAAGAAGATGCAAATGATCAAGATTTTTAGATGCATTACTAACTCTGAATTACAGAGAAGAAATAAGGAAATAAAGTTATAAATTTATTATTTTTTTTACACACTTTTTTTTTCATTTTCTCTTTCATCTAAAGTCATTTTAGTGTTCTTTTATATCTATCCTTGTGGGAATACAAACATTTTCACTTTATTTCCTCATACAGAGAAAGGTTAGAGATACTCTTACGTAACACTGTAAAGCATTTTACAAGGAAAGCAACAGGAAATAGAAATGCACAAATATGACGGTGGGATGGCAAAAGTATGTGTATGGCATATTCGTTTTTAAAAAGGGGAAAAACCTTAAAGTTTAGAATGACATTATTTTTTTTTAAATATATTTAATCCGATGAGAAGCGAATTGGATCTTACATTAATTAAGATCACATTTTTCAAGTTAGATTCATTTTGTGTTGAATATTAACCGATATGTATGATATATTTCAAATGATAAAATCAATCAAGATTTATGTACTCAGTTCTAGATTTGACATCATTATTAGATATTTCCATATAGTGAGATGAGTCAATTTATGTATTTTTATTAGACATTGGGTCAGGAATATGAACATACTTGGATTTGTCATCTTTTCTAGCCATAGTAGTCTCGTACGCTTGATCTAAATCGCAAGAATGAGACGGTTGACAATTTTTTGGCAGGAAACAGAGAAAGAGCCCTATAACTAACAAGATTATGACCAGAGAGAGTAGTGAGACTGCCAGAAGGAACGTACTGTTTGAAATGGTTGTTTCTGCAAAAAAAAAAAGGGGAAAATGATTTTAAGTTCATTGACGGAACTTTTATAATGATAGTTATGGGTATCAAAACACTTTTCAGAAAGGCATGAAACAGATTTAGGCACTTTGTATGTGTCATTAATATCATTAAATGGTTTAAGGTATGTCACTCGTCAGCTTTTTAGAAAAATTCACGCAGAGCCTATTACGTAAAGAAATATTTATTAAAATTCAATTTTTATAAAATATTTATATTCAACGATGTAAATTTTTTAACATTCATCGAAAAAACTGCTTAAAAATCTACAAAAAAGCAAGATTAATAAGGCACTATTTCTTTTGGTGGAAGGATATTCAGCAGAAATTTCTGCAAATCTGCATATTTATTAAATTTAATGTCTTGAAACTTTAGCCTCACATACTTCTACTCGGAAAATATTTTTCATTATGATATTGCAGGAATATTTAATATAGATCTTAATTTATATTTTTAGAACAGTTTTTACACCTACCCTCTTCCCACTTTTGGAAACTGATACACTGTAATCAGGTATGAAGAGGTTACGTTTTATAATGGAATTAGTAAAATATTACAAATGTATTACATGTGCTACATGTAATAGCTGTCTTAAAGGTACTTGAACACAGATTTGAAGTTAATATTTTCTCATATTTTCTGTAAAATATCACGAATTATATATTTTAATAGCATTTCACACAAAAATTAATTAAAAATCTTATTTCATTTAAAAGTTATTAAAACTTCAAATTTTTTTGGCGGGTTTGATTGACACATCCTTGCACTTTCACAAATTTTAACCTTTTTCTTAATCCTAAGGAAAAGTGGCAATTTTGATGTGTATTAATGAGAAATATTAAAACTTTTATCAAGAAAAATAATTTTATTCAGAGTAGAAATCTTAGAAAGCAAAATACCTTCACAAGTATCGTCATTCCGAACTAAGAGATGCGTACAGAGTTTAGCAAATTGAGCACACTCGTGTTATGTACACAGTTTTTGTAAACAGGGCTCGAGTTCTGTTATTGTTTATATTTAGAATTCACCGGGTGTGTTCAATCGCCATAGTCTGCTTACCACATCTGCACGGACTGACAATATATTGTGTGTTTGTTTTGCTTTCGAACATATTTACTCTGAATTTTCTGGATTATAGTACTGTATTTATTTTTTTCATTTATACAAAACGAGATTGCCACTTTTCCTAAGGATTAAGAACAAAATTAAATTTGTGAGAGTGCAAGGATATGTCAATCAAACCCGCCGAAAAATTTGAAATTTCAATATCTTTAAAATGGAATAAGATTTTTAATTAATTTTTGGTTAAAATGCTATTAAAATATATAAGTCGTAATTTTATAGAGAAAATAATAACTTCAAATCTGTGTCCAAGTACTTTTAACTTGACTTGACTTCTAAATATAAACAGTGATAAAATAACTCCTGTTTGAAAAGAGAATACTAATACGGGATTTTTTTTCCATTAAGCTAATCTGACTCGAAGACTCGACTGAGATTTTTGAATAACATTTTTTCCTGCGTTCTTCCGTATATTAGCACGTAATCATTTCACATTTTTTATTTCATTGTAAGACCCCGTGGTCCAATTTCAACCAAATTGTTACAAATTACCTTTTGGTAAAAGAAATTCAAATTTGTTTAAAGGAAGGGCCACCACACCTTCTTCTATTAGGAAAAAAAGCGAAAAAACAAACGCAATGGTCCTAACTCATAAAAAAAGATAAAACACATAATCATAAATATTGTCTTAGTCAAACACACAATTCAGAGGCAAAGAGAAAAACATATATGCATCGCCAGTTTTGCTTTAAAAAGTTTTTTCAGTATAATTTTGTTCAATTACTTGATAGTTGATCAAGATTAATGTACTCCGTTTTGGTTTTAATTTCTGTATTCCTTATCTCCATATAGTGAAACCTTTCGACCTCAGAATATTCAGTCGATAAATCCTTATGGATATCAGTATACACGTTGTTGTCTTTTTTTGATATGGATTGTTCGTAGACAGGGCTATTATTGTTAGGTTTAGAGGAATGGTGTTTTTTCTTCAGAAAAATGACAAACAATATTGCTATCAACACTAGCACAGCCACAGATAACAATGAAACGACGATCGAAGGCGGTGTGGTCCAGGTGTTCCCGTCTGTTAAAAGAAGAAATTCCATATGAAAATTTTCATTATGGCGCAGCTTGTGAGTATAAATTCAGTCAACCTTATAACAAACATCCTTATAAGGAATTGACTCTTTAAATAAAATGATTTAAATTCCCACGACTTTACAATATATTGTTTACTTAATAGATATAACGAAACACTGTTACATGTACAATGTGTATAACGAAGCAAAATCGCCAATCTCTGACACTTTCTTTACTGTAGTTACTGATGGATATTCTTCAATATCTTGTATGATATATTTACAATATTTATTTCTTGACTACAGGTATCCCTTGCTTTCCATACATTAATATAAGTTATCAACCACAATTTACACAATTTTATAACAAAAATAGCATCGAAATATTTATTTGCAGATAATCTGAAACGTAAAAATTCAATAGATCTTAGTTTAGCTATAATTATTTACAAAGTGATTTTTTTTTGTGCTATTTAACTAAAGTTACAGGGCAACAAAATTGATTAAAAGTTCAAAAAAAAGAACATAATTCAAGAATATGTATCTTTTTTTAACAAAAAAAGAATATAAATGCTGCTACATATAGAACGTATAAATGTGGATGCGGAAGTCCGAGTCAATGAAACTAAATAAGAATATAACAATAAGTTTTTTTCATAGCGATTTTCTTTCGAGGTATTAAAATACCTAAATGCCAATTATAACCGAAAGGAAAACAGTCAAAGAATATTAAAGTTAGTATAGCATGCTAGGGCATCAACGATAGTTTGAAACATTGGACAATTTGCATAACGGGCGAAGCTCGTTATGCATAAATTATCCCATGTTTCCCACTTTCGTTGATGTCCTTGGCATACTATATTGATTAGACAGTGATTCCTTTTATTTCCATTTCATTTTGAAATGAAATTGTAGTTTAAGACTATAAAAAAGAAGATATGGATTTAAATTACAAGAGGACTCCTATGCCAATTTCATGTGTCCTCGTCCACTTATATCATACACAATAGCAGCCGCACGAGATTTACATGCATATTTGGCCTCCTTAGGGTCAGACACAGACACAGATGCGCACGAGATTTGCATGCATATTAGGACTCCTTAGCTCCTGACCTATTACCTGCCTAATTCACATTCCGATAGAATTATCAAGAAATCAACTCCGCTAACTTTGAAAGAGTTATCACAGAGAACAAATTTAGAAATGGAAAATTACAAGATAAACAGTATTCTCATTCAATTAACCTTTTGTATCTCAGCTTAAAAACTTCAAAAGTTGAAAAAAAAAATTCACAAAACTTTTTTGAGCGATATCAATCGAGAAAAATAGTTTCCACTTTTCGCAATGTATATTTCTCAACGATCATTTAAATCTCAAAAATAGAATTAATATTTTTTGTAGATGTAAGAAGTATTCTCTATTCTCTCCTGTATATACTATGGATCTTCACATATACCTGTAGTTGCACGAGAATTATCAACCACGACTTCCGTTTCACAGAAAAATCCTGATCTGCCATCGATACATCCATTACATTGACCTGTTGAAGAATCGCACAGCCTACCTCTGCAGTATTCACCGCAGGTCATGTTACATTCCTCTCCGTAGAAACTTGGATCACATTCTGAAGAAAGAGTAGTGCATAAAATTAATGTTTGAAAAACATTCCATCTTCCGAAACCTACCCAAATGTGATTTTAATTAACACATTATTTGATTAAAACTACAAGTATTTATGTCTAAGAGTAAGCAAGTATATATTGAAGTCCAAAGAAAATGTTCTAGAAAAAGGAACCTTTGCAAAAAAAAAAATTACGTAAACAGAAAATAAAATTATTTTAGAATTTGAACCAAATGTCAGAGTTGTTATTATGAGAAAATTTCACAACCGTCCCCTCAGCTATGTTAAGGACTGATATGGAAAATGTGACCTTTGCACCGTTTTAATATGTATTGCTTCTTTTAAAAAAATTTAACAAAGCAACTGAATACTTGTAGAAAAGGTAATATAGCTATCAATAATGGATAGGACTGGGCCGTAGTTATTACCAGTTATATCGCACGTATCAGCTGTTTGTCACGTGACTTGTATAAAAATAGAATTGTTAAGCTGAATGTAGGAAATGTGGATAGTGCAAGGGCATACGCTTGTTTTTCAAGAAAATAATTGATACACATTAAAAGAGGTTTATATCCTCTACCCAAAAAGTGCTGGGAGCTAGTCAGTGCTGTTTGCGAAGTACTTACAATTTTGCCGAAAATGCTTATAATAGCTAAAAATTTCCACTTCGCTTAAATTCTGTTATAAATAAAATTAATGTTATGCAGACCAGGATCAGCTCCCAGCACTTTTCAAAATATACACTATATGAGCAATAAATATTCCAAATTTAAGCTCAAACAAAATAGTCTATGCCCTTGCACTTTTGATGTATGTCACGAATACGCTCATCATTTTAGCGATATTCTCCATATTCCTTATCCCTGTGCAGCTTCAATGCTACTAGATAAATTCATATTCTATACACATTGTATTTAATAAATTATTTTCTTTTAGTTTTAATGATTAGGTCTAAAACATAGCAATGGTATCATATTTATTTAAGCATTCTTGTAATTATTAAACCAGTGAATTTACTCCTCCGGATCACTTGTGCTGCGTCATGTCAAGGCTGATGACGTCATATTTGACAAAAGGCTTTCTTCTATTACTCGACTGTATAGCTATCAAGTGTTGCAATTTTACAAGATTTTATGAATAATCGATAAAATAGATAAATTCAAGTTGTTATTTACACATGATCATATCATTAATTAATTTTTGTAGCTTGTTAAATTTCAATGACGTCACAATTAAACTTCCAATACAATGTACAAGGAATGTGAACTCTGACCTTCCTTAACATAGCCGAGCCATCCCTGTATTCAGGAAACATTAAGCAATGCTTATTTATTTTGTTTCATTTTAGATCAATACAGTATAGGTTCCATATTGAGTTACAGTATATACCATAATATGTCTCTGCACAAATCGTAATAATTTTTTTAAAGTTACGTCTATTTGGCATTCAGTATTATTGTGTTTATTATGCCATCATTTACTTCACCGAATAATAGGCATTGTCTCATTACTTTCTTTGCTAAAAATCAAAAAAAAAACTTATTTATGGTAAACGTCCAAATATCATCTTATTGCATTGTATTTCAATCAAAACATCTCAAATAGGTGATCCTTTTTGTTCAGTCTAATGTAATATAAATATCACTTTACTTCAACGATAAACAAAAATTAGAGTGTTATTATCAAAGGGATAATTGTTTGAAATTATTCTGAACAAAACTTTAATTTAAAAAAGTAAACCCAATGCATCATAAATAAAGATTTATAGAAACTATTGAAATTAACTTACCGTCACATTTCCTACCAGCCCAACTCTCAATACAGCCATCCATACACTCCCCAGTGACAGCGTCACACGATGTAATATTTTTACAGTTAGGAATGTAGCAAGGAGCATTACAATTCTGACCAAAGTATCCATATCGACACTCTACAAAGAAAGACGAGGACCTCGATTTAAATATTGTGTAGAAGAAATGAGCAACAAAGATTGTTGATCACTTGTTATTTTTAAACATCAAGGATAAAATAAAGCTAATCTTGTTGACTTTAATGCACAGAACTGATAAGGGCAATCAAAAGACCAGGATTTTTGTCGTACAGGTTCAAACCACTTTCTAAAAATGAGACTTCTCTGTTAAATGAAACAGTAACAAGTGGTTTTTGGGGTCAAAACGCTCACCTGAGTAATTTTGTCCATGCCATTCTTCCGCAGACCCCCACCCCCCCCCCCCCTTGTTATACTTATTGTGGCCAAATGCTATGACCTGCGGTCATGATTTGGGAATAACATGAATTTACACTACACCAGCATGCCTTCGCACAAGTTTCACCTTTCCTGGCCTATGAGTTTCTGAGAAGAGGACGTTTATTTTATTTTTTTTTTGCTCTATCTTTCAATGTGAAGCTTGAATTCCCTATTGTGGCCCCGCCTAGCCACCAGGGTCATAAATTGTATGATTTAGAATATACGCCACCTAAATATGCTTCGACATAAGTTTCAACTTTCCTGGCCTAATGGTTCTTTGTTTTTTAAAAATTTTCCTGTATATTTTAATTTCAAATTTTGGATCTCTATCGTGTCCCCTTCCTACTCCCATGGGTCATGATTTGTATAATTTAGAATCTACTTTACCCCGATATGTTTCCACATAAGTTTCAGCTTTACTGGCCCAGTGGTATTTGAGAAGAAGATTTTAATGACCCCACCCTATTTTAGTCTTCTTTTGATTATCTCCTTTTGGAAGGGATATCGCCCCCTTATTTTCACAATCAAATTTCCCATCACTCAAATAATGCTACTTTAGTTGACATCGCCCTATTATAAACTCGAAAAAGTGCGAAATGGTGAAAAATCTACTAAGATAGTAAGTTGGAGGAATTTCTCTGTATACGGTAATATGGAGAGGCCAAAAAAAAGGCATGAATACAATTTCAAAAGACCGCGCAGAGAGAATAAGGAAGCATACAAAATATTCTACATTCACTAGATGAGTGCTACATTAAGACGTCATGGTAGGCGAGATGACGTCAATTTTAGAACATAAGTTTTTTGAATATTGTGTTACGGATTTCCCCCATGACCAAAATAACCCACAGATTGGATCACCCCAATTTATGCCCTGAATATTTAATCTACGTATCGTAATTTTATTTACAGATATCATGGGAATATTACCAATCATCGTATGTCATTAATGTATGCTTTATAATTGATTGTCTATGTTTATTTCATGAATATCGTTTGGTTTTATTGTACAAACCCGAATTTCCTCCACAGATCGTAATGACTTATGGTCGTCTGGCATTGTTATTCAATCAAGGTACCCAAATCCAACTTGGCATCGTTACCAAAACAATTCCCAAACAACAAATCATCCCTTTTCCCGCATTTGTAATGCTGAAGCCTTTACTTGATGCAAAAGTTATGAGTGTTACCATACAAACGTCGCGCGAATACTGGCGGTACCGCTTGTTATTCGCACGTGAACTAATTCGCACCGGAATACCAAAAGGTATATAAAGAAGGCACTTTAGACTTTTTCTTCAGTCTGGGGGGTTGGTCAGCCCCTTTAACATCTGACCAACTCAGAGTCCCAACTCCCCATCATTGGGTAAAAATTGAGGCCTTCACATTGGGTAAATTTACCAATATTGGGTAATCCAATCTACTTAATTATTATACATCCTGACCCAACCATAATCAGCTGAACAGATTGTCCCATTGTTGATATTGTGGAACCCAATCAGCTGACCCTTATATATATATCCTGACCCAACCATAATCAGCTGAACAGATTGTCCCATTGTTGATATTGTGGAACCCAATCAGCTGACCCTTATATATATATCCTGACCCAACCATAATCAGCTGAACAGATTGTCCCATTGTTGATATTGTGGAACCCAATCAGCTGACCCTTATATATATCGTGTCCCATTATCCATAAGTATACTCTGTTTGTATTTTATTAATCATAAATCATTATTGTCATTGTTTGAATAAATTCATTTTATAGATAAACAAGTCTTGTTGATTAATCAAGGTAAATCTCAGGAATAAGAGGACCCACATAATATTTGTAACACCCAAGATCGGGTCACGTTACAATTTGGTGTCAGAAGTGGGATATCCATTTGCTTATTTCTGTTTACCAAAATTTTTCTATTATAAAGACAAAAGAAATTTTAAATTTTTGTATATTTTTATTGACCCAATCAATTTTTGTACCCAATATTTATAATGGAAACTGAAGAAAATTTTGATTCAGAAGTCACTTTCAAATCACACCCATCCTCGTCCAATGCTGTGGAAGATAATCGGGATCATAATTTACCCGCTCCTAGTCTCCAATTTTCCCCAATGGCATCAGATTCAGTACCGCCTGCAAAGAACAATCAATTGGACATGTTAGTGTCTATGGTACAAAGTGTTAACAAACAATTGTTGGGTATGAGACATGAATATCATGAATTGAGAGATCATGTTAATCATTTAGAAAGAAAATTTGAAAACCCAACCTATGACAGGGGAGACAATCATCACACAGCCAGTGTCTCAAGATCCAGACCCATTCACCCAGTACACTCTTATGATGATTTCCACCCCCATCTTCATACAGACCCAACAAAAGGGCAAAGGGAATATACACGTCACCCAGTAACAATGTTGGGTACCCATTATTCCCCCTCACTTGAAATGAATAGAAATGAAAATGGTATGCCTCTCCCGTCTGCATCCAAAACCCATGTTACTATAAAACCTCAAACTTTTGATGGATCAGAGGACTTTGACGAGTACCTCGCCCAGTTTGAAATTTTAGTTGACTTGCATGGGTGGGACTATAAAACTAAATCTCTGTACCTAGCTAGTAGTCTGACAGGGAGTGCCCGGGCTCTATTGAGCGAGTTAAACGAAAATCAGAGAAGGGATTTTAATGCTCTTGTGAAAATTTTGACTAGGAGATATGGCTCTATTGAAAGGTCTGAAATGTACCGTGCCCAACTTAAAACCAAAACTAGGGGTGCAAATGAATCCTTACCCGAATTGGCCCAATCTATTAAAAAGCTAACTCGTCAAGCTTACCCAACGGCCGACCCAACCATTATAAGCATTCTGGCCCTTGATCAATTTATTGATGCCCTACCAGACCCAGATATGCGATTAAGGTTAAGGGAAGCTAAACCCAAAGACATAAACGAAGCTGAAATTTTAGCCATTCGGTTGGAAACATATAGATTAGCAGACGCCCAACGAAATAAAACTGTTCATGCCATTAACAAATCAGAACCCATCCAAAACTTGCGGGATGACCTACAATCCCTTACCCAAGAAATCAGAGCCCTAGTAAGGAATTGTCAAATGCCTACCCATAATTTGACAGAAACCCCTTATGCACATTATGTATATGAGAACTCATACCAAAACCCCTATGCGAATTATTCCAATATGGGCTCATATGAAAACTCCAAACCCAACTACCAAAACAATAAACCCACAAATTATGGACCAAGACCCCAAGGTTCACCCTACCAAGGAAAATCTAACAAATGGAAAAATTTCCCCAAGAATCCAAATCAAAATCAATTCCAACCTCAAAATCAGGGAAACTACCCAACGTCGAATTCAGGGGTCGGAAGTCGACAGGTTCAAGGGGCAGGCCCCAACACTTGCCATTAAACGTGTCTCAACCTCTCTCACTAAAACCCAAACCCAATATTGAAAATAAAACAGAATTTGAATCCAAGAAAGAAATCCCTTGTACTGAACCTATCCCCAAAGAAATTTTAGTGAGAGATATAAATGGGGAAAATGATGGGATTTATGTTACTGGAAAAATTGGAAATAAAGAAACAAATATACTAATAGATACAGGTGCTAGTATGACTATTGTCAGCACCCAATTCTTCGAAAATTTGGATACTGCGGAAAAGCCCCAATATACCCCAGTATCTATCAAACTTACATCTGCAAGTGGTAATGCAATCCCAGTTAAGGGAGAATGCCCAATCAAAATATCCCTTGAAAATTTTCAAGTTACCCATAAAGTACTTGTGGCCGACATACAATACCCATGCATATTGGGACTAGATTTTATGACCCAGAATTCATGTGAACTTTTTGTAAAACAGATGAAACTAAAGGTACAGGGTATAGACATTCCCTGCTTTAGTAAATCTTGTGTGAAAATTGTGTCTTGTGGCAAGATAAGTCTTGCCGAGGATATTGGAAATCCTCCCCATTATGATTATGTTGATCCCAAAAAGGTAGATGACCCTTTATTTCGGGATGAGGTTGGAAAAATAGAACCTATCCCAAGTTTTGTTGAGAAAAATGAATTAACCCCTGTAACTGTGAACAGAGAGGTCACAGTTTGTCACATGAATATGAATGATGATTGTAGCTTAGTACATGAAAATACCCAAAGTGCCACAGTCAAATGTGATGACAAAATACTAGATGTATTGGAAGACCCAACCAATACCCAAACCATTAATGCTTGTAGCCAAGAGCTCGGCTCTCAAACTCCAAACCACTTGCTATGTATGAATGTTGAGAATGTCCCAAAAGAAATTACAAATGGATCAAAGAAAGAGTTCCATTTGAGCGAAAATTGCCATGAAACTTTTGACAAACTCCAAAGAGCCCTGACAAGTTCCCCAACCTTGTCCTACCCCTACAATGAAAAATTACAAAATGGTGTTGGAAAATCTTATGTACCATACCCATCACTTAACCGAGACATGATGATCCCTAGTTCATACCTTGCTGTGAGGGACCCGGAGCCTTCCAAACCGTATGATGTACTTCCGGACATTGATCCTGGACATTTCCCAATGACGCTGGATTCGTAATACATGGACGCACACCGGACCTTTTGGATATTTCAAGGACTATATCGTATAACTTTGTGAACATTATAATAGTGAATATTCATGGTGTGGATTGAGATCTGTGATTTGTGTCCGTCATGACTTTTCTATTCCAATGGATCCAGGATTGGTAAGAAGTGATGAACTGTCATGAACAAAAACATTTTGGTAAAAGTGAATATGTTGATGATTTATGAACTGTTATTCATAATTTTGTTATTCATGCCTATGATTATAATTTGTTGACCACATTGTAAGTATTGATATGTATATATGTATTATTGTGGCCCTTGATTGTGTTTATTGTAAGTATTACTCTCCATGACAATATTCCCATGATAAATAGTCCCAAAAAATGAGACTTGATAAAACGATCCAACATTCGGGACGAATGTTTTCGTGGAGGGGGAGCTGTGTTACGGATTTCCCCCATGACCAAAATAACCCACAGATTGGATCACCCCAATTTATGCCCTGAATATTTAATCTACGTATCGTAATTTTATTTACAGATATCATGGGAATATTACCAATCATCGTATGTCATTAATGTATGCTTTATAATTGATTGTCTATGTTTATTTCATGAATATCGTTTGGTTTTATTGTACAAACCCGAATTTCCTCCACAGATCGTAATGACTTATGGTCGTCTGGCATTGTTATTCAATCAAGGTACCCAAATCCAACTTGGCATCGTTACCAAAACAATTCCCAAACAACAAATCATCCCTTTTCCCGCATTTGTAATGCTGAAGCCTTTACTTGATGCAAAAGTTATGAGTGTTACCATACAAACGTCGCGCGAATACTGGCGGTACCGCTTGTTATTCGCACGTGAACTAATTCGCACCGGAATACCAAAAGGTATATAAAGAAGGCACTTTAGACTTTTTCTTCAGTCTGGGGGGTTGGTCAGCCCCTTTAACATCTGACCAACTCAGAGTCCCAACTCCCCATCATTGGGTAAAAATTGAGGCCTTCACATTGGGTAAATTTACCAATATTGGGTAATCCAATCTACTTAATTATTATACATCCTGACCCAACCATAATCAGCTGAACAGATTGTCCCATTGTTGATATTGTGGAACCCAATCAGCTGACCCTTATATATATATCCTGACCCAACCATAATCAGCTGAACAGATTGTCCCATTGTTGATATTGTGGAACCCAATCAGCTGACCCTTATATATATATCCTGACCCAACCATAATCAGCTGAACAGATTGTCCCATTGTTGATATTGTGGAACCCAATCAGCTGACCCTTATATATATCGTGTCCCATTATCCATAAGTATACTCTGTTTGTATTTTATTAATCATAAATCATTATTGTCATTGTTTGAATAAATTCATTTTATAGATAAACAAGTCTTGTTGATTAATCAAGGTAAATCTCAGGAATAAGAGGACCCACATAATATTTGTAACACCCAAGATCGGGTCACGTTACAATTGTTATTTAGAGATGTAATTTAAGTCTTCTCTGAGTTGCTACAAAATGCATGTACAAACACTTATTTAAAAACCGAGTATCAAGAAATCAAAGATGTTTTACATGTACAGTGTAATCGTCACTGTAATCGTGTACGTAAAAGACATGAGGAATTTAAATAATTATATACATTTGGTTAAATGGACAAAATCATTTAAAACATTTTACTGACTGAAAAGAAGCAGATAGGCATATTATTTCTCTGGTAAATTAAAATGTAGAACCAAGATTAGGAAATATTCAAAAACCATACCCGATTGAAATAAAACCGATCCCGATCGAAAATAATTCAAAATTTATAAAGTTGTCATACTAAAGCCACCTATAAGACATGGATAAAAATAAATAAAGTAAATTTTGAACTATATAACAACAAAAGAGCCAGATTTAACAATACAATTATAGTATTTTCTTCTTTATATAATTATGATAGGGATCGGTTTAATTTGGGAAAAATCATAGATAATAGGTGAATTTGAATCCTCTTATGTCCCTCAATATACCTGTTCCCACCAATTTTATGAAGTGATTCAAAAGTTTGTACTTCGTTTACATATTAACATGAGGAAAAAATTCTGTCAGATAGTAATGTATTGGATTTTATAACGTATCAAAAATCGGATACTGAATTCAAAAAAGTCATTTGCTAAACTCAAGTTTGGACCACATATTTTTTTTTCCAAAGAAATATTATTTGGAGTCTTAAACATTAAGAAATAAAAGATGAGAGTCTATGCTATAAATAATATTGATTGACACACCCAGCTTTTAAGTATTTGTTACATATAAAACAAAATAAAAACGTAATATCTTTTTACCCTCATGTTGACCTTTTTACACTTAAAATTAGACGTTTACCAAAAAATAGGACTACAGGACCACTAAAATAATTTTTGATGTTGCCATGTAATAACACTTGTTTTATTAAGTCTACATGCAAAAAAAATCCATGACATGCGATGTGCCACCTATTACCTGGTTTTTCGGTAGAAAGCCTCTTAAGTAACTTGGGGATTGATCATGTCGTGTAAAGAGAATTTGGCTAAGATGGCATGGACAAAGATACGTAAAATGGAGTTTAAAAGCAGATATCGTGAATATTTTGTGAAATTCATTTGGAGTTCAGTTAATAAAACAGGTATGCTAATTTATTTTCATCGATTTTATTCTCTTTCGAATACAGTCAGCTATATACGTATCCCAGTCGGCCTTTCCTCTGTCATTTGTGACAAAAATAATGAAACAGCACAAAAATAAGCTGTATATTTCAAAACATAAGGTTTCTACAGATGGAAAGTTTGCCTCTTTAAATACTCGGAAAGTGCTGCTAGAATCCCGAGTTAGGCATAGTTTTACGAAAACTCTCGGTTCATACGTTAAAAATTCAAAACATGGGGTAAGGTATCGTGGGAGTGTGTGGAATAATTATTTTATTGACGGGACAATGGGATTCTAGCAGCACTTTTTAGGCACAAGAGATGTTTTTCAACTATATTATTTACTCAAAGAAATTATCAAACTCCGGGTATTGTTGTTCTGTTAGCTTTTTTATTAAGGAAAATTTCGCTTTTAATAGAAGTCACGTGATGCCGTGATGGTGGTGCACATCGCTGCGTTAGACACTCTTTTATCTTTATGTAATAGATAATTATAGTTTACCTTTATTAGCGGTTTCGGTAAATTATCAAACTTAATTTTTAAAATGTCTAAATTTCCCCAAAAAGTCCTTATTATGCTTCATCAACATGCCCGCGCGTAATTTCAGTAGTATGTGAAAGTTTAATACATTGATCATTACTTACTTTGATCACATTTATCTCCCCTCCATCCAGGTGAACATTCTCCAGGACAAGAACCGTTCACGCGGTTACACGGTTCATTATTAATGCAGTGTCCACATTGGGCAGAACATCCTTCACCATATTTACCAGCTGTGCATTCTAGAAAATATATAAGACGACAGTTGATGCAATGCAATTATGACAAATCTTTACTTTTTTATATTTTTGTTTTGTTTATTCATGAGATGTCAACAACCCTGTTAATACATGTAAACATCTTTATTATTTTTGCCATACTTTATTCAAATCAAGGAAGAGTGAATTGATTCAATTTTTGTTCTTGTATAAAACCCCAGTGTTGACCACAAAGAAGCATTGTATAAAAATTTTCATTGTCATTTTTTTCTTCTAAAAACGCCCAGGATTTTTTATTTCAAATGTTATCACTGCATCCTAATGTTCAGATGCACGTTACATCTCACAACATGTGCTTTTTCCTTTTCATGTAATTTTTCTTAATAAATCATACATCACAGTAATGTAAAATCAAGTCGGCTTATTAAGGAGAACAATGGGGAAATTAAAATTTTGATAAAAGACTAATTTGATATCATCTTCACTGTAGAGAAGTACAAGTATTTTTGATATGTCTTCTTAATTATTTTTTAATTAAGTACATGATTATATATAAGGCCCCAGGTCTTAAAAAGAAAATGGTGTTTACATAAAAAGGAAGAATTTTGATTCTTTACCTGTGTACAGGCTATAGTAAAAAGCATTGTGGTAATTACTTTTCCAATTGTCGACCAATTTTTTATATTTACAGTTTTTCACAATACTTTTGGAATTTAAAATTTGAACCCGATTAAATACTTTGTTTTCTGTTATTCATGGCGAAGACAAGACTCAGTTTATACTGTAATTCTCCATCACAGTTTAATTGTCCAAATAAAAACAAATCAAGAGAAAATGGTCAATTACATGTATCAAAGTATCAAGTATCAAAGCTTAATACATAGATACCTGTTTCACAATATTGTCCAATGTATCCACCGATACACTCAAAACATTCTCCAATCTGAAAGTGACATGTGTTATTCAAACAGTTCTGAGGACACCGGGTGCAGTTTTCTCCGTAAAATCCCAAGTCACATCCTACAGAAGTTGCAACGAAATACGTAATTCGAATTTAACTTCTGGATAAAATAATAAAAAATAACATAAAGTCTTGTACATAACTTTTTGCAAGTTCAGAAAGGATTCATTATTAGCAAACAAAGTGGCAAATAATTTTCCAAGTATGAATATGAATTATAGTTATAGTGTTACAGGATAGGCAACTCCTTCTTCGCCATGTTTATCTTCCCAAAACATCACGCACAACACTACAAGTTTTTCAATTTACATTTATCCCCAATGAACAGGATCTTTTCTGATTATTGTCATTTGTTCCTTTATTTTATAGAAATTGATTTATTAATAAATTTTAAAGCATAATAATTTAATAATTTAAATAATAAGAAAACAAACACCGAAATCGGCTATTTCTTGGAAATATGGCCGATCGGGGCATGTGCTGATTTTGCAAAAAAAAAAACAAAAAAAAAAAACAGATTTACTACTAAAATAAGGAGTATAATGCGTGCTTAAAACAAATCCTGAATAATTTTTGACAGATAATTACAAGATTTGATCTCAAATATGCAATAGTTTTAGAGATATAATTAATAAAAGTTGACTATCGAAATCCTGCGACTTACGAGATATCGCGAGACTTGCGGTAGTTGCCTTTTCCCTTAGTATATAGGTCCCTGGTTTTATATACAAATAAAAAACAGGGGATCTTTTCTCATTCATTGCAATTCTCAGTACTTCTCATTTTACTTCTGGTTAAAGCTACTTCGTAAATAAGAAACAAGTGAGTTTCATTTTTATTTCTCTGCTCTTCTGCAACATAAAAGCTAAAGATAACTAATAACATTCACTCGTTTAAAAATACTTAACTACATATTTCATACAATACATCACACTCATAGAAAACACACTTATAATAGAATTGACGTTAAAAGCTAAGTTATGTTCATACAATGACAAGTTGTCAACAATTTTTGACTTAAATAATCTCAAGAATAATGCTTATAACGAAGCGAAGCATCCACTCCCTGTTATTTATTTCGTTTTAACATGTTTACTGTATATGAAGTTTTAACAAAGTAGAAGGAGTATGACTCGATTAAAGCATAACAAGTTCTTGTCTAAAACTAGTTAATTGAGTAAAATCCTTTATCGTTTCCGAAAATTTCTTTAAGAACAGATGATACAAACAAAAAATGGATTCCTGGATTGGTATATTATGTTTTGCATAATTTCATTGCAAATTATGTAATTAATAAATTTTTAGAATATAAAGAAATAAACCATCTGTGTCCTACAAATTCTACTCTTCTGAAACCATTATTATTATTCTATAACAATATTTTCAGTCAAATTCAAATTCAGTCAAAAGTTTGTTTGTATCATCTGTCCTTAAAGAATCAAATTACTTAAAATGGTTTGAAATGTTCTTATAAAATTTACAAAAAAGGTTCATTTTTGTACGGAGGGCGTTAAAAAACAAACAAGGAATCAAAACATGGAATCATTTGCATTAAAGATTATGCTCTTTAAAGATGTTTAAATAGTAAAATTGAATATGGGGATAATTGATAATTTCATGAGGTCATAATGCATAGTTACATATTTAATCAAATTTAAAA